TGATAGGAAGATCATTGGTTGCCTAGGGTCTAAGGTAGGAGGGAGGTGAGGTGGAAAGGGGTGGAAGGAAGGACTACACAAAGGCATGAGGAGATCTGAGGTGCAATGGATATGATTACGATCTTAATTTTTGGTATACACAAATGTCAAAACTCATCAGATTTTACTCTTTAAATATGTTCAGTTCATTGCACATCAATTATACCTCAATAAAGCTGATAAAATATACAGGCAAAGAGAGGAAATTGAAAAAGATCTTGGAAAGGTGAAATGGAACAATTTGAGGGTTTAACTATAAATATTGTAGTAGAAGGGATATCACCACCTTCACTGTCTATAATACAGGCAAGAGAGGATGTGTTAATTAATACAAAACAGTTTCCTAACATCATCCATAGAAAGTTCTTGTGTATAAATGAAGTGGGAATGAGGGGAGCAAATTTTACACAAATAATGTACAAACCATATGTAGAAACATATCTAAGAATGTTACAATATAGTAAAAATTCAGTTGAAAGTAGATTACATCCTTACAGCCTTATCAGTTACCCCAAACTCTACATTGGTGATCAGGGACTTATTTAATTCTTCCAATGAATTATAATTTAATGATTTTACTCATGACATCCAACAGGGTATGCTAAATTTAGGATGCTTCATTATGTTGAAGGTTGCAATGGACTGACTCCAGATAATTGGTTGTCTTCTCTGAGCCAAGCTATGATAAATATTAATCAGGGATATTAGAATGAGCAGGAGAAAAACTTGACAAGGTGTTTTCAATCCCTCTAAACCTCTTTCCATCTCTGTGTTCTTTTATATTCCTTGAAAGTTGACTTTGCCTTGTCAAAATGGATAGATGGTGAGAAAAGTATATGAAAGAGATTACTGAGTTGGCTAAGAAAAGGTCAATTTTTATTTGATAAAGAAAGCCTAAGTTATATTTTGTGAAAGCTATAATGTTAGTCATCAAATATTTATTAAGAATCGACTAGGTTTCCTCACATGTACTGAAAATAATGATCAGGCCTACTGGAATAGGGATGTTGTGAAGATTAAATCAGTTAATACATGTAAAACATGTAGAACCATGTTTGATATATAATGAGGACTCAGTAAAAGTAGCTAATAAGAGTTCTATAATATAGTCTGGAAATAAGACACATACAGAAAGAATGTTTTGTTTGCAATGTAAAGGAGTGTGTGTGTGTGTGTGTGTGTGTGTGTGTGTGTGTGTGTGTGAGTTAAGTAATAATAATTATACAGATTTAAGGCTGGAGGTATCTAGGTTGGTAAGGTAGTATTTATAAAGAAGGGGCTAATTAAGCTAAAGCCTGAATGAAGGATAAAATTAAAGAATTATTCCAAAGGGGAAAAGGGGAAAATGAATAAAGAGATGTGAAATGAGGACAGATGTGGGCTAACTGGAGACATGAACAGGCAATCCAGAAAGACTGAAGAGAATTTCTATTAGGAAGCAGGGAAAGACTAATTAAGTGTTTGGACAACTCTCTGTGGACAAAGGGAAGTCATCAACATTTTTGAGAAAGAGAGCCAAATGATGAAATTAATTTTAGGAGTATTAATCTAAATACAGTATTTAGGCTACAGAGAAGACATTAGCAAAAGGTGTCAAGATGGCAGTAAGAAAGGTATGTGTTCACCAAAGGGGAACAAAACCCAACTTGAGTGATGGCGGTGAGGACAGAGGGGGAAAAAAATGGATGAAAAGACATAATATTAGTGGATCAAGTAAGAAAAGCATTACAAATAGATTTTCACTCTTTCCAATCTATGCTGCAATTTAATCAGAGCACTCTCTTCTTGAAATCAGTTACTGGATCACCATACTTGCAGGACAAAATCTTAACTACTGCCTTGATGATTGAATTAGATTCAGTACGTGAATCTCAGTTTAATTATTACAACTTGCCTCTAAGAACACTTCACTGAAAGCGCTGTGTAGTCATTTTTTCTGCCTTTACGCTTTCTGCCATAGTCTGAAGTGTCTTTTCCTTCCCCAAACCCCCTGCTACTTCCTTCTAGCCTTCAAAATTAATACCAAATGCCAATGTTTAGGCAAACCAATAAGCAACGTTTGCCATTCCCTGTACACCATTGATCCATGAATAGAATGTAGTGAACACTGACATGGATGGTGTGCCTGTCTTATCACATCCACAAGAACGGATGTATGTGGAAGCAGGCTCTGATGGCATCTTGGTATCATGGCCAACATCTATCATTATGTTTTGCATAAACAAGGTTCTCAATAAATATGTGTTGCCTGCATGCATGCAAGCTATGTAATTTATTGGCACGCTTTTATTGTTGCAATGCTCTGAGGATTCCTTGTGTCCAAGAGAGAGAAATTCAGGGTTTTTCCTCTAGAATAGGAGAGGTAACACCCCAGGTTAATTGAAGTAAAAGCAACAAAGCGAATAAATCTGGAAGAGCCCACAGGATGCCCATGTCCTCAGCCTATCTTTAGGCTCTTGCATCAGAAGCAGAGCCCGGAACCTGTAGTTTATAGGAGGCAGGTAACGAGGTACCTGCTGTGTTGCCCACATGAGCTCTTCCCTTTTAGTGATGCAGTCACTATCAAATAACATCAGTTCCACGTGTGTTATATTAAGGTAACCTTACATTCAGGGCACTGCGTTTTCTAAAATTCTGTGGATATTTTTTCAGTGTTACCTACCCACAATAGGAAAAATATAACTCTCCTGGTCTAAAGGAACTAAACCCAAGGTGGTACTCCTTGGAATGGGTTAAGGCTGCCAAAGCAAGAAGATAAATTATGCAAGTACAGTATCTTCCAATTTACATTTAAGATTTTCTTCCATCTAGATTTATGTTTTAAATGACACCAAAAAGTAGATATTATTAATATTCCCATTGCTCCATAAAATGATACTGATAGTGACTGGGGAATCAGAGAAATTATGCAAATTTCTCTAATAGATGATGATATCACTGTGCCCATATACTGTCATCTTGGATAATGGGAGAAAAAAACATTGAGAGGGTGAAGGACCACCAAACAAAACTGCCTTTGTTCAAATGTTTTTTCTTCATATCAATTATTGTGACTTTCTACATCTCAAGTTTTCTTATATGAATACTTGAAATAGTAAAATTTACTGTAAAAAATGGTGAGAATAAAGTGACATTACACAAGTGGGTACCCACACTGCAAGGTGTTGCCCAGACTAGACACTAAATGAATGCTAGTTTTTTTCTTATTCCACACCCATTCTCTTCATGCAAAGAAACTCTTTTGTTTATACATACAACATAAACAATACCTACACACAAATATGTTGATGTACTAAAGATGCAGGTGTTGGGCTCTTGTTAATATTAGAGAAGAGCAGGCATAAATAACATCAACACATCAATTTGGTGAGCATTCAATTAAATATGGCAGTACTTATTACTGATGCCATTCAGCGGCTCCCGCCAGGATTTCACAAGAAGACTCTAACTATGTTTACAAAGGTATCAGGTGACGAAAGCAGGCAGGATTGGGGGAATTCCTCAAATGCATGAGGTACAAGTCATCAAAGGGTAGTGTTCTCTGACCTAAAATACTGAGATAATTTCAATGTGTTAGTACAGGACCTGTATAATTTTCATATTCCTATTCCTGGTAGTAAAATAGTCCTATATTGGCTCATAGAGAAACCAATCTTGTATTTCAAATTCTACTTCTCCTGGACAGAGAGAGACCCAATAGATGTGGGTGTGTCCACTGAACATTAAAATACAACGAAGTGTTGTGACTTACACTGGATTTTAAAGGAAATTGGAAAATCGATCAAACAGATAATGAAAATGCCCATTAATATAGTCACTGGAGCTGCTACATATGTCGGTATATGAACAAGACAATGGAATGGTTGAGGTTAAACACAATCATGAATTTTTAAAACCAATTTTTACCAGAAAAAAAATGCCCAAATACCAATCAAAGTGTTTATGCTTAGACAAACTCTACATTTATCTGATGCTATTACCCATATAAAGCAGTTTAGAAGCTTCTCTCTGGAAACTGGTATAAGGACCAATGTGAGAAACAAAACTAAATCTTAATCACTGTCAACTTTTTAAAAAATTTTTTTATGAAAAACATTAGTTTTCAGTTGGGACATGAGTAACAATGAATACATAATCCTATAATAGCTATGAAAAATGTCATTTTGTTCAATTGTCTTTAAGAGGTTCTGTTGATTTGCCTTTGATAACTGTAGGATCCATAGATTTAACTGACCCCAACGTGTTTGTCTATATTATGGCTACTTTAAACATAAACCAGCTTTCAGCTTAATTCAGTTTATTTATTTATTGAGATGAATAAGAGGGGCATGACTTTTTTAAATAAAGATATTTTGGTGGGAAGTCCCTTTCTACCAGAATTCTAAAATAAAGCAAAAACATATGGACACATTAAGATTTTCCATATTATACTACTTTTAAACTTTCTGCCCTAAACCACATTAGTTATAGGATTTTTTTTCTCATTCTTTTACACATATTTCCTTTTAAGTTCCTCACTAGAATTTCTTTTCAAAGAGAAATAATTTGCCAGTATTTCAAAGAAGTTGCTACAACTTTAAAAACATTTTCAAGAGAATACTTCTGTGAATGTTTATGCAAGGGGGCTTATAACTGGAATAAGTGAACGACCTCCCAAAGTGGCTATTTTGGTTGGATAATTTGAGAGGGTGAGATCCTATTAAAATTCAGTCTTACTGTGTTATTTACCTAATCAATGGAAGGCATTGCAAGTAACACCCCATTTTATAGGAGGTGGGAGCATCACTTCCGGGGCATAATGAAGAGTTCTGATGCAGCCTCATACGACAAGGAGGAAGAGAGTCTGTATACAGAATCATCACCTTCTAGAGATATATAAGGGATCAAGCCAATGAGGAGCACAAAGAACCTTGGTCCACACTTCTCTCCAGTCAACCACAGCCTGCCCACGAAACCTCACTATGACTTGCTCCAACTCCTGCTCCGGAAACTACAGCTTGGGACCCCTCAGAAATCCCTGTCATACTCCTCTCACCCCTTCCCATGCTCTCTGCTCTACAAATGTGAGCCATGGAGATGTCCTCTGCTTGCCCAGCAGATGTCAAGATGGTACCTGGCTCATGGACAATTGTCAAGGGAACTGCAGTGAACCAACCAGCTACCAGTCACGAAGCTGTGAGCCCAGCAACTGTGAAAATTCCTGCTGCCCTTCCACTGCTTACTATGGGCCCAGACCCTGCCAAGGAACCAGTTTTCTTCCTGCTGCTTCTTACATCTCCAGCTCCTGCCTCCCAATATCCTGCAGACCTCTGAGCTACATGTCCAACAGCTGTGGGTCCCTGAGTCTCCTTACTTATGGATGCCGCCCCTTGGGTTGGGTGCCCTGTGGTCCTCAGCCACTTGGTTTTGTGTCCAGCAGCCTCAGACCTCTGCGTCCTTTCTTTGGCGGATGCCAGCCTCTGACCCATGTGTACAGCCCTTGTCGTCCATCTTGCTTTGCACCTGGAGGCCAGTAGCTTCCTAGTAGTGACCACCCTTTCTTATTTTTAGTGTGTCTGATCTAAGGCAAGCTGCCCCTTTCACATTTCTCGCTCTTTGTTATTGTTTTTTTATTCATCTCTCCTTGGCATGAAATTATTTGGTTTACAATGCTATTCTTTGTCACTGGTGTGGGAAGAACTTATTTTGTTTATGTTGCAATAAATGAGATTAAGTCAGAATTAAAAATCTGATTCTTCAGTTTGTCTTTTATTATTTCATTTTAACACAGAAATGACCAACCTCAACTGCTTGCAAGGTAAGTGAATAATAGGACAGGGGAAGCCGGATTATATGTTCTTTCTTGACAGTAGGGGAATAGCTTTGATAGTTGTTCCCCAGACCGCTTTCTAGATCTGTGACCCTATGTACTTGAGAGGTCCAAAAGCCCTTGGTTGAAATCATTTTGAAAAGGCCAGATTAGGAATTGCTCTCCTTATCTTTCTTCCAGTGAACATCTACTGGAATGTCCTTTCTAATTGTAAACGGAACCATATTTTACTCCTGCTTAAACCTTTGGTGGCTTCCTATGATCTACTTCCATAAAATAAAAATACAAATCCCTTTACAATGACACCTGGTTTCCTTCCTTGTTTTTCTCCCTCCCGTCTCTCTGAATTCATCCCTTTCTCTATATGGCAAATGCTCAGCTTTTGCAATCCTGACTTACACACAGGTCACAAACATGCTGCTTTTTATAAGCACCCACCTTTTGCCTATCTCATCATCGAGACAGGGTGAACTTCTGATCTATCTATTCTGATAAATCACAATCACTTTTAAAAACACAGTCCAGGGCTGGCCGAGTGGCGCGTTGGTTAAGAACTGGCTTGGGACGCCAGAGGGCCCCGGTTTGGATCCCACATATGAGGGCCAGTGACACTGCCCTCCACAGCTAAGATGCTGAACAACAGCTCGACCTGGAGCTGGGCTGCCGTGGGTCACTGGCGATGGCTTAGGCTGCAGCCCCTGCTGCAGTGAGATGCCATGGGCTACCGTGTGTAGCCAGCAGCCAGCGTGAGTGGCCAGCAGCCACTGTGAGCAGCCGTCCAGAAGCCGGCAACTGATCTGCCTCGCCCAGGAAGAGCACAATGATGGTACCAGCTTGGGCCAGTGAAGCAACATCCTCCACAACTAGACTGAAGAACAAAACAACAGTAACTTGTCTGTTCCCCTTCCCCAATTCCCCAATAAAATCTCAAAAAACAAAAAAACAAAAACACAGTCCAACTTATTTTATTAAACTGTTGATTTATTTAGCAAGAAATTTATTACCTACCTACTATGTTCTAAACCACCCTGAGCCAGGCACAGGAGATGCAGAAGTGAACAAGGCAAACTTGAACAAGTTCAGTATTTACCAGAAGTCATGCGCTTTCTATAGACTTCCAACACCAAAGCTAAATGACAGCCCCTCTTATCATCATGTTCATGCTGCTGTTTTAAAATCCGTTCTAGCTCACTCTTATGCCTTAGCTGCCTAGCTCTCCTGCATATTTTGTTTGAGTTTGCTACATCTATACCCTTAATTGTTTGAAGCCTTTCCCAGGCCCTCTCTTTTTTCCTTACCCTAATGAATAAATCATGTTGACTTAGCCTGCCTTTTATCTCAGACTTATTTCTATTAGTGATGTTACGTGACTATTTGTCTTAAAAATAATTTTAAATGAGATTTTAGTTGAAATGTAACATACATACGTATTTATGCAGAAATCATACTTTTCATCACTATTTTACAGTGTGCTCTTTCTACTTATAAAAACAGTTGGCTATAAAAAGGCATGCTTATGCCATGCCATCAGCAACCTCATCCATCTAGTGTTGACTTGATTGCATCATTAACTCTTGTGCTTGATTGAACCTCGTGTTATTTGTACAGTGACATGTTTACAGTCTTGTAGCCAAGGAAAAATAGGATGTCCCATCCAGTGTAGGTGTGTGTAGTAGGCTATACCATCTAGGTTTGTCTAAGTGCACTCTGTGATGTTAGCACAATGACGAAATCGCCTAACGTCGCATTTCTCAGAAAGTACTCCTGTCAAGTGATGCATGTTTTTCTGAGATTCTTCCACGCTGTGATGTATACCAGTAGTCCATTTATTTTCTTTGATGTATAATATTTAAGGCATTAAAACAGCAAAATGTATTTATCCCTTCTACTGTGGATGATTAATATGGGTTATTTCCAGTTTGGAGACCTATACGAAACAATGTGTAGAATACTCTTTTCTTCTTCTACATATCTTTTGATATACATATAAAGATATTTCTACTGGGTAACAGATTTAGGAGTGGAATTGACAAGCTACATGGGATGCTCCTGGTCAGCTTTATCCTACATGACAAAGTTGTGCCCTACCGTTATGCCAATATCGATTTCTGCGACCAGGGGGAATTGCAGCTGCTCTCCATCCTTATCATTATCTGCAATTGTCAGTCTTTTTAAGTTTAGCCACTCTAGTAAGTATGTAGTTAGAACAAATGTAGGCTTTTAAAAAAAATTTCCGTGATGACTTATAAGATCGAGAACATCTTTTAATTGCTTTTGGGCCATTTGAATATCTTTTGTTTGTTTTTGTCTTGTTTTGTTTGCAACCATTCATGTTCTTTGTTCATGTTTTTAATTGGTGTATCTGCTTTTAGGATGGAAAGAGTTATTTACATAGTCTATATATTAGTTCTTTGTTGGGAGTATATATTTTTAATATCTTCTTCTGCCTGTTTTTTTACTTTCTTAATGGTGCCTTTAGATTAATAGACATTCCTTATATTAAACTAGTCCAACTGATCAATCCTTTATTTATGTTTAGTACTTTTTAAGAAACCTTTGTTTGCCTCAAATTAATTAATATATTATATGGTGAATTTAGAAACTTTGTTTGTTTTACTTTCAACATTTAAATATGCCATCAATGTAAAATTGATGTGTGTGTGTGTGTGTGTGTGTGTGTGTGTGTGTTGTGTAGTAGGGACCAAAATTCCATTTGAACCACCATCTCCTAAAAAGATCCTCCTTGGGCCGGCCAAGTGGCGCAATGGTTAAGAACTCGCTTGGGATGCCAGAGGGCCCCGGTTCGGATCCCACATATGAGGGCCAGTGACACTGCCCTCTGCAGCTAAGATGCTGAACAACATCTCAACCTGGAGCTGGGCTGCCGTGGGTCGCCGGCGACGGCGTGGGCTGCAGCCCCTGTGGCAGTGGGTTGCCATGGGCTACCGTCTGTAGCCAGCAGCCAGCGTGAGCGGCCAGCAGCCGCAATGAGCGGCCGTCCAGAAGCCGGCGACTGATCTGCCTCGCCCGGGAAGAGCGCAATGATGGTGCCAACTTGGGCCAGTGAAGCAACGTCCTCCACAACTAGACTGAAGAACAAAACGACAGCAACTTGTCTGTTCCCCTTCCCCAAATTCCCCAGCACTGTTCCCATCCCCGCAATTCCCCAATAAAAAAAATAAAAAAAAAAAAGATCCTCCTTTTCCTACTGCACGTCAGTTCAGTGCCTTTGTTTTTTTCATACATCAAATATCTATCTATATACGGGTGTATTTATATCCAGATATTTTATTCTGTTCTATTCATTGCTTGTCTGTTTGTACATCAATACCATGCTCAATTTTTCAGTATTTTATTTGCATTTCTGAATACTCCTCTAGACTTTGAGCTCTGTCAAGGCTGTCTGTGTATCAATATATGATTAGGCTCTATATAAATGTTTCTTGATTTGAATTTAAGTAAGTGATGTTTTGGTCAGAGGGTTGTGGAAGCTGGGGAAAGAGGTATTTAGATTTAGGATAGGACTGATGAGAAATTCACTATGTTGGTGTTTTTCCCCCTTTGAAATTTTATTCTGTGCTTTCTTAAGGTTGGCTGGAAACAAGTGTTCACTCTCATCTCTCTATATTTCATAATTCCAAGAGCTAGAATTTAAGAGAAATTCTGTATCTACTATCCCATGACTGGATAGGACCTGCTAATATTTATACATTAACCCACATGTGATAATTATGTGTTGCCAGTTATTGGTCATATTTCTTATGTAATTGACTTAATTACTTTAATATCCAGAATGGTAGCTATAATTGTTCTTAATTTAGACAAGATCATGTAAATTCTAAATTACTGATTTGGTATTTATTTCCAAGTTTTCCCAAAGCCCATGCATGCTTTTCTAGTAAACTATACTATGATTAAATGCAAAAAAAATTGTTTATTTGAAATAATTAATTCCATGTTACTATATTAGCTGATATTTATTGCCTTCTAGCTTCAGAGGCATATTTTCCATGGCTAAAATGAGTGAAGGATAGGGATTTAAGCTATTTTTTCTCAAAAATAAATATTCTTTACTATTGGGTTGTCAGGAAAGTCATGACGCATGTTTTATGAAAAACATAGAAAAATACGTCATGACTTTCCCAACGACCCAATAATATCCAAGCACCAATGTGTCAATTACGATTAACCTTTTGGCATAGTCATCTTCAAACCGGATTTCACAAGAACTAACTCCCTTTTATCAAATCACGAACTCAAATAATAAATTGCCCTTCCTAAATGAACTCTAATCAAGAAAGCATGCTAAGTCTCCATCATAACCCATTATGAAGCATTGTCCCTGAAGTTCAAAATCAGATAGAATCATTTTATTTCTTATCTTGCTTGAAATAGATTGAGGAAATTTTAACTTTGTCTAGGTACTTATGGTTAATGATTTCAGGGCAAATTAAAATGACAAAAATGAAACAATAACAATATTATGCTATCTCTCCACTTTCCTATTCTTTTTCATTCCACATGCAAGTACAAACCACCTCTGGTTCTCAATATAAATTGACCATTGTCAGATCTAACAAAACAATGGAAAAGAAAGAACACACAAGGAAATGTTATATGTTATATGTGGCCCACACGTAACACGTTGCTTGTTCCTATTTGTGCTAACAGCAGTTGTATTCATGAGCTTTTATTCTCCACTGAAAT